GCAGCATGTGTGTATAAATATGACATAAGTTACACATTAAGACTTAAGAAAATATAGCTATAATATACTTACGTATTTGTTTGTCTTTGTCATGCATGCTCTTTTTTACTGCATTGCCTGACAACCTTGTTGTGAGTTTATTGCCATTTTAGGCTCATCTCTAATGTGACATTGTTACAGTACAAAGATCATTCATCAGAGTAATTGTTGTGACCTTGTGTTGAATCATGGTGGAACTTACTGTTTTGAATATTTGTCTAACACATGTTCTTGAAGTTATGAAATATGCTTGAATATGTTCGCAAAGTATCACTGTTAAATTGGTTCACATATGTCTGCTTCCTGAGCATGCAGTGCCTTACTGGATAGCTCAATATTAATGCTTCAACATGTAGCTAATACTTGTATCAGGAGTATTTGGTATTTATGGATGTTGACTGCAAGTTCTCAACATGCTCAAAATATTTTTTGTTCTGTATCTGTGTAATTGGATCATTTTTTAATATATTTTTTCAGAAATACTTCCATTTGCACTCATACGATAGAAATTATTGTTTTCATGAACTTTTTGCACTGATAACAATTTTATGTGTATTTTTTTTTTTCAATAATCATATCATAACCGTCCTAGAAATATTCATGTTTACTTGTCAGGTACCAGCTGGCTATTATGTAACAGTCACCTACCACATTTGATGTACACAATTTTTACAGTGACTGTTCATTATGTAAATTTGAAAGTGCTTGAATTTTACAGAGTTCTGAATAGTTCATAATAGTAGAAGGAAATATTGAGGATACTTTCAAACTGGTCATGTCCATTGTTAAATGTATGTCTCTCACCAAAACCACATGTTGCATGGGCGACAGAGGAATGTATCATCAATATGATCCCATAGTAAGTTTTTCCACTGCATTAAATTTATCATTAAACCAGTAGTAAGTGATTACTGTCCAGTTTGCTTTGTATTAGATATTATATGTTGTCTTTAGCTTGTGTTGATGATAATACAGTTACTTTGTTTGATATTTGATATTATATTGATAAATTTATGTAAAGTCTGTGCTATATTTATTCTGTCCATTTCAACAACTGTGATAATGCCTTTACAAAATATCTGTATCTCATATTATATCAGCTGTAGTACAAGGATCTTGTAGGAGTCTATTAGTATTATATGTAGCAGGTACCTACTGATGTATGCTTACCTGGAAGTCGTTGATATCGCTGTATTTTGTAAAACCTACATTCCCTGCCTTGTAGACAATTTTATACAACATGTTCTTCAGTTTAAATTTTATTAAAACATGAGTAAACTAATTGTGTTATGTTATATGGGACTTCATTTTTCAGATTGTTGACCTTTTTGAACAGAAAGCATGAAATAGGTAAAATAGTGGGAAGATTATCCTGACTAATTACATTACATTCTACTGGTTACTTATTCCTTGCTAATCACAATACATACTAATGTATCATGACATTGTTAAATATATCCCTGATTTATTGGTTTTCAGACGCTTAAGAAACATTTGTAATTTTCTCGTTAATCACAAGAACTGTAAAACATCTCACTCACTTATAAAAGACAACTTTATTTTAAGAACAGGTCATCATTGGACTATTTACAATGTATGTGTGAAGCCACACCCCTTGTTTTAGTGCGAGTAACTGCAACAACCATGGCCGTCTGAAAACGTATGATGTCCGAAAAACCTTTGATCCAACGATGCAAAGTATTTACAACATTGCATGTCATGTGGATGATGTTACAAATTATGCTTTATTACAGATATGCATTTAACATCATAAAAGCTAGTTTACAAGACTAAAATATCAGATCCTAATCTCCTTATGATAAATATTAATTACTAATGTAATCTGAATTAAGTTATCACAGTTAGTTCGGTGTTGTGAATCATGCAGGGTTGAGAAGCAGCAGTGACCAGAGAATGAAATGTTGAAGTGTTTAAGGCTAAAGATCTGGTCACATGCTACAGACACAATAGAAATGACAATTACTGGCCAAACAGGGCTTGACCAGATAACTAAAGACCAAGAAATACAATGCTAACTTACATAACTATTTATGAGGGCTGGTCAAATTGTTCTAAGCCTAACAAACAAATCCAACAATTGTGAAAGTGTTTTTATTTTTCAACATATTTTCAACATACACTTCTCATATTGATAGTGATGCATTTCAATTACAGTCAGCAAGCAGTTTTCTGAAGCCACCCTGAAAAACCCATTCATGGCAGCTTTCCATGAAGGTGTCCTTTCAGTTTAGGAAACAGGCGGAAATCACTTAGTGCCAGGTCTGGCGAGTATAGAGGGTGAGGAAGCTCTTCGAACCCACATTGTTGCACAGCACCCTTTGCAAGTCAATATGTGTGAGAAGAGGGATTGTCATGATGTAGTAGAACTCCAGCAGTCCGCATTCCTTGCCACTTTTCTTTGATAGAATCTCTCAGGCGATGAAGCAAATCAGCATAGTAGTCACCAATAATTGTCTTTTGACTTTCTAAGTAATTAACAAAGATCACACCCTTTGCATCCCAGAATACAGTGGCCATAACTTTCACCACTGATCTTGAAGACTTGAATTTCTTTGGTGCCGGAAAAGTGGAACAGTGCCATTCCATGGATTGATGTTTTGACTGGGGATCATAGTGGTATATCCATGTTTAATCACCCGTTACTAATCTCTTTTTAAATCTTCCTCAATTAGCTCTAAATTTTCTCTGGCAATGTCAGTTCTTTTTTCCTTAAGATCAGAATTTAGAACAACGAACAGATATCTTATTCATTTGTAAATGTTCATGAATAATAGTTTCAATGGATCCATGGCTTAGACCTGTGTCTTCCTCAAGTTCACCAAAGGTAGTATGTCTAGCTGACAGTTTTTCTATCTCCTTGATTGAATCTTAATTGATGGAAGCTGAGGGACCTGAGGTCATCATCAAGGCTTGTTCTCCTAGCCTTAAACAAAGCTGCCCATCGTTTAACAGTGCAATAGCTAGGGCACTTATCCCCATACACTTGTGACATGCGGTCATGAATTTCTTGGGGAGTACTTGATGAAAAACACTTCACTGCTCGGCACTCGTTCTTTTCCATTTCTGTGTCCATTTGAACCCCTATCACGTAAAACTGGCTGTCACTAATATACAAACGGCCTCAACAGACCAAATACACTTGCAATGAACTACTCAAACAATGTACTACATTGACTAGTTCACTTCGTTGTGGCCGTTAGTTGAAAGTTAGTCAAGCTTAGAACTTTTTGACTAGCCCTCGTACTAAGGGATCAGTAGAGAGTTTCTTAGGTTAGTTTACAAAGCTGCTTCCTGACTTAACTAAATTATTTACCCATGTTTAAAATAACATAAATACATGCAATATTTTCTGCTACATGAATCCAAGGTCAAGGTTACCAGAGGTCACATTGTAAAGCATGACACAAATCTCGGGGAATACTTGTAACATATATTTGAGATAATAAAACATATTTTAGTCAGTGTGTGTAAAATTTGGGATACCTTTATCAATACCTGTTAATGACATCCACTGTTAAACTTATTAACTGATCAAAAGCCTTAACCTAATGATTAAGTCTGAATATACAATATATGGAGAAAAGTTTGATTTTACAATGATATTTTGACAATTGGCATACTTACCATTTCTGTTTGGAAGATTTGGGTTTTAAGTCAAAGTACGACACTAGACAGACCTAAGAGTATTTACAGGTACTGAAAGCATTTTCAGTTACAATGACTTTTACCCTGACTTTTCCCCCATGTCATCCTCTGTCATCAGAAGTGCACAGAATTTTCCTCTGTTGCCTCAAACTCGTTGGGACTTGGGAAAAAGTTTGAGTTATCTGGGGTTCGAGAAAACCAACAAAGTGACTTTTAAGAACCAAACGTCATACTATGAGTGATTGTTACCATGTCTGGATGCAACACTAAATCTCAAGGTATTAATAAATTACAGTGCCCATGCTGCTGGTAGTGAAGGGCATGGCAACATCCCATCACGATTGTCGTCATTGTTTAAGTCGTATCTTGAATAATAGATTCACAAACATAATCTTAATCCATATTACTCATTTCTCACGTGTCATCGACAGTCACATTAGTACACTTAAGTAACTTGCTGCCAATGGGTTTACAGTAATCAGCTTGCACCTTTGATGTCCAGTGTGCTGGTTAATTATGCTTGATTGGATATTTGTATGCTGTTAGAAGGTATCCTTAAGCATTTTCATGTAGATCAGTGGGTATTCGTACTGAGAATACAAAAATAGACTAGAAGGTATCCTGCCTTTGATGTAATTGCATCTATCGCAATGAGGTCACTCAATTGTGTGTGAAGTGAGTTGAAAGTTAAAAGTTTGGTGAGTGTATGCGTGTGTATGTTATTCTTAGTTTGAACTGTTCGAGTCATAAGGAACATATTATGCTTAGTTTGGATACTTGGGAATCCAGAATAAGTTCAAGACAACTGGGAATTTGATATGTCCAGTTTGACAGATGCGAGTATAAACGATGAGATATATTTAAAAAATAATAGAGGTGGTATTCTCAGATTTTTCACAATGATGTTTGATATTCCAGAAATATGACAAAATCTGGACCTGACTATTCAGTGATTGATATGAGCAACGGTGCATGTTGTCGTCAAATCACTGAGTCTGAGAACCCAATCTATTGCGTCACCTCTTAAGACTAGCATAGGATATTGGGGACCTATTCTAACCTGAATCCCCTTGGGGCCGTTAATCAAGGCAATGCTTCAAGGACTTGTATTGTATGGGCAGTGATACCATGTATACCACAACCATGATCTGTCCTTACATGTCACTTCCTACAATGCATCTCATTTTTATATGCACCCTCAAATGATTGAGGTCAGGAGACAAACCTTACGCTCCTACATTAATACTGATCAGAACTATCAAAAGCATTATGTAATGAACAAAAGAAGAATCAAAATAATTCAAGTCCTTTATCATAAAACATTGCAAAACACATAAATAATCATGATAATTTGTGTATATCATTTGGAGAAATTCACTAACAAAACATAAGTTTGTGGTTTATTGTTTCTTTGTACAAAACATTGCCATGAAATGACAATTTCTGTCTTAATTTGCAAGCATATGATAAGAGATTTCTTGCATCATTTTGAATCATTTCCTTTCGATTTGACTCAAATTAAGTATAAACAGATGTAACAAACTAAGTGTAACAAACATTTTAAGTCAAACTGAAAACTGTACATTTGGTGTTTAATGATAGCGTAATACTGAAACAAACAAACATACATGATACAAAGAATATGCTTCTAGTACAAATACACACTCCACTGAAATATACAACACAAATGCGGGAAGTATGATGCATCCTCATGCAGTACAACAGATTAAACCAAAGATGAAATTGTCCAGAGTTTGACATTGCTCATAGTTTTAATGACTAGTAGTATTCTCCCCATACTTACATGTAATGTTACATAAACAACGGAATTAAGTTCCAATACCACATGACCTCTTTTGGCCACACAAAATGCAGCTCAAAATGTAGAGATTGGCCCGTGGCCATGGTGATCACCTGAAATGGACTAGCTGAATTTAACTCAAGGGTCTACCACTATTGGTTTAGATGCAGCTTTTTGTCCAAGACCAGTGAAAACCTGGAAGGAGCCTATAGTTCTCTCTACAAATCTTGTTATGTTGGTATAATTTTAAATAAACTAGTCCAAAATGTCTTGTGGACTAGTTGGCTATTATTCTTGATATATAACCCTGTGAACTAATAATAATCATGTGTGAATCTGATTGTTAGCAAACTGAGTATTGTTGTTCCAATATATTTCCAAAGCCCTTGATAACAGTAAGTGAGGCAAAGTTCACAACCATCCAAAATAAAAATAATAAAATTCAGTATCATGAGGCTCCAGCCTCTTTTTCATTTGGGTCAATCGTCTTCTTGAGTTCTTCTATTTCTTCAATCATAAAGTCCACTGGATGTTCTGGACGCTTGTAAACAATATTTGTTGTCATAGTCTGCAAGTAATAAAAAGACAAGTATTGGTCAAGAGCTTCATCAACATGTCAAATTTTTCAATTGACTTCAATAAATATGTTCAAGATATGTAGTAATTTCTTGTAATAAAATGTGAAGCTACTGTATATTACCCCCACACTGTGTCATCAAAACCAAAAACAAGCAACAAAACTTGAAATGTTACAAAGTAAATCAAAACTAAAGAAGGATGAATTACTGTCACCATAGTAACTGAGCATGTCTGGTGAAAGGGTTATATGTATCCATTATAATTGCTCAGTATTTTAAAATACTGAAACAGACTCAGTTTCCAATGACTAATAATAGGCTAAACCTTTTTTAAAAACATGGTCAGGTATTGCAATGAAAGGTTCCTTTGACATATTTGTAACTGCATTTATGTTGGGCAGAACAGTAAATGACAAGTATATCAATAATAGTAATACTAGAGCAGTTAACAATTAATTATTATGCTTCATTTACTTGGTAAAACATGCAAACAGCATTGTTATGGTTTTCTTTTTATTTGATTTTACTAAGAAAAGTTTTTGTAATTGTTACAATTCTGACGAGGCAATGCATCGAAAATTGTTTCACACTGACAGTCACCTGGAAAAGCTGAAGAATATTATGTTTCTCCAGGTATTTGATGGCTTTGTTGTAAGGATCTGGAACTGGTTCCACATAAGTCACGTCTTCCTCAAGGTGTGGGATTGTTTCGCCCATCGCGTCATCCACACCTGAATCCATAGCTTTCTTCAATTCTTGACTAACATCTTGTATTCCGTCCACCTTTTCACTCTTAGTACTCTCCTCGGTTTTTAATTTCATATCTTCTGATTCAGAAAGTTCCATTTCTGTTGCAGTCACCGTATCTGCCGCCATGTTGTTTACTGCCAGGTGTTATGTAGCAACGAAGACGCTATTCGTATTCGTATTCCACCAAACTGTACAACCTAGTTGCGTTAGTATAAAACGATATTTATAATAGCCTTGCACTTTAAACCGCATATCTGCGTAAAATTACACTGAATTCGAAAATAAAGATTTTACCACAAATGTAATCAAAAGAGGCCCAATTAGGGTAGGTATGGTTTTGTTTTAAAATGATTTCCTATATTTTCATTATTTCTTGATGAGGCATTCTAACATGCATATTTGTACTTTATGCAACATGTTTTCTCCTAATTCGCTCTATTACTTCATATCTGATGCATGTGAACCACGGAGTTGTGTATCATTCGTTTTAACAATATTTATATCTTTTATATCTTTACAGAGAACCCGTTATTGTCCGCTTTTTAGACTCACAGCACATGAAACATTTGATTAAGCGCGACGTTATGGCTATCGGGCAGTTGTTAAACTGTTCGCAGTTCAGTTAGAATTACGGTCAAAATTACAGTAAACCCTCGATTACAAACAAATTTAGTTTTGGGGGAGATGAAGTTAATCTTCAATGATGAAAACGTGTTGCTGAGTGTGAGAACGGAATCGTAGATCCGGTCCGGACCGATTATACAATGTTTTATTGCACTGCAGGCAGGGGTACTGAAATCTTTGCAGAGCAAGAGTTGGCAATTCGTCATATAGACAGTGAGGTGAAGTAATTTCCTACAATGTATTGATCATGATGCTATTATAGTAAATTGTTTTCCTCAAAACAAATATGTAGATCCTTTTGATATTTAAAAAATGTTTTATTTTATAAACTCAGGTGATTCAGCTGTTATTTTCACTGACTGCACTCCAGCATATGAAGTAGACATGAATGGAAAATTATCTGAGTCAACAGATGCCTGTAATTAATTCATTTGTAAGAAAAAATGAAATTAATTATTAGATCAAGTCTATTTGTTTCAGTAAAAGGAAAAAACAATATTTAGGATATTAATTATCCTTAAACAAAATAACAACTAAGTAATTTGTCATAGGTACGACTACATGAATAATATTTCACATATTTTTGTGTCATTAATTATAAGGATTGACTTACAATTTTGGACTTCGCAGGCACACATAACTGATGGAAAGGTGTATTTCAAGTGTGATGCAGACAATTATGCTAAACTCTTTGATCTAAAGTCTGTGGAAAGAGTGTTTGTTCAAATAGATCATTTCAACACAAGCAATATTTGCACAAAAGGTGAGTTGTAACTTTACTCCATATCATCAGATATCACATGTCAACTCATGAGTGCTCTAAAAGTTGATGGAACAAGTTGTTAATCTGGAGGTTCACTGATACACAGTAACTTTGCCCCTTTGACTATCATATAACACTGTTTTGTCCTATCTGTACAATATTTCACAGGAAAATACCAGTTCCTTAGATCGCTGAAGGAAACTGTTGTAGAGAAGGACAAGTTGGAGTTAGCACTCGTCACACACAGACAAGTGACACATCACCCTGAGCCTGGGGAACCTAGAGAGCCATTAAACAAAAGGAGGAAGGTAGAACATGGGGGATCGAGTCTGCCATCGCATTCCCCAACTTTCCGTGTCTCCAGCAAAGTGGCAGGACAGTGGGGGAAAGCATTCAGAGCAAGAAACTTTCAGGTATATAATAATAATGACTTTCAAGAATGATTATTTTTCACACCAGACGTCTGTGATGTAAGTTTGTGTGTGGGCAATGATGACTTTGCGATAGAAATGCTTGCTCTTGTCAGTTATTGACATGAAACTTAATTATTGCAGGAGGTTTCTCAGGAGCTTGGAAGGGATGTTGTGAGACTGCTTGGATGGAAGGTTGATTTGAGAAATCCTGAAGCAGAGGTAGTATTTCAATATGACTGTAAATGATTTCTGTAAAGTTTCTCGTTAATCTCATCAGACAATATATTCCCCATGATACAACTCTAGCATGATATTACTCTTCCATGAAGTAAATCCTTCTTTGACTAAACTACGGACCTATATAACCTTTATATATACAAGTCCGTGACTAAACTAAAGTGCATCATACAATTGCAGCATTATGATATCACATCTCTATCATGTCTTTAATATGCAGTTCCTGTGAGCTTGACAGTGGCAGTAACCTCAGTCCTTTACAGAACATTCTTCATCAAAACATGTTTTAATCAACAGAATGTGTACTTATTTTTTAAATAAAAATCTTGTCGACTAAAAGTGTACCTCATGCTCTCAAAATTGTGCCCATGACCATGATGACTCTCAAAACTGTTTGCAGTGAGTCATGATGACTCCCAGTTTTAGTAGGCTTAGTGAAACCCTGCTCACCGCTGTGTTCCAGATCTGTGTCCACATCAATGACGAGTCTGTGACTGTTGGCATGCCTATCACAAGGTCAGTTTAACAACCAACCGATAGGGTTCCTCTTCAGGAGTTGACCCGTGAAGATCCGGGATAGAATAGGTCTTCAACAACCCATGCTTGCCGTAAAAGGCGACTTTGCTTGTTGTAAGAGGCGACTAACAGGATCAGGGGGTCAGGCTCGCTGACTTGGTTGATGCATGTCATCGTATCCCAATTGTAAGGATTAATGCTCATGATGTCAATCACTGGATTGCCTGTTACAGACTCGATTATTTACAGACCGCCGTCATACAGCTGGAATATTGCTGAGTGCGGCGTTAAACAACAACCAACCAACCAACAGCTTCAGGAGTTACACTTGCACCACATGCTTGGTTTGAAGCTTCTTGTAAGAAATAAAAACAGATTCCATCCTTTTGGATGATGAAAGACTGAGAGCCCAGAGCCAGAGAACCCAGTTGTTCATTTATGGTTTTGATGTAACTATGCCTACCAGTCCCACAAGGACTGATGAAGTGGTATGCAGAGAGATTTATAACATACCATTGGCATTACTTTGTCTTCAGGTGTTATATTTTTCACCAGGTAAAAACAGGTTTCACCCTGTTGGATGATCAAAGATTAATGTAAGATCCCCAAAACTTCTAATTGTGCATTAATGTTTTCCTTCTATACCCACTAGAAATAGATGATGAGGGGGATTACAAATCACAGCTGAGAGAGGAACTTTGCAATGCATTAGGAGGATCTATCATAGGAAACATTTTGATAGGTTACATCACCGCTGTGTTATTATAAGGCTGTCTTGATATGGCTGGAATATTACAGACTGTTGACTTCTCGAATGTTTACTATATATGGACGTGATGAATACGGGAATGTAATTCCAGGTGTCCAGTGTCCAAGAGGAAGTATATGGTCCAGCCGGGTCTGAGGTCCACTGTAGCATGGATCATGGCACATCTAGCAGACATACAGGTCAGTGGGTGAATGGGAGCCGGGTCTGAGGTCCACTGTAGCGTGGATCATGTCACGTCTAGCAGACATAGAGGTCAGTGAGTGAATGGGGGCTTTGCCAGACATCCAGGTTTCCTACTCTACAACTGTAACAAAGACAGTAAAAAACATGAACTATACTTAGGAAAAAAAAAAGGTTACACGCCATCCTATATTTTGTACAATTCAAAAGCTGGGGTCCATATGTGAACAAGATGGGGAGAGCATTTATAAAAAGACGACAACAGAATTGTGTAAAGAGGTTTATTGACATGAAACAATGGTGTATATTTTGTGGATTATGGCAGTGATATGTTAATTGCAGTGATTATGGAAGACCAGGTGATTCTATAGCCACGAAAGCGCTGAAACACTATCATCGCCATTCACATATGGAGCAGCATATCAACAAAACACTGTTTCAGAAAGGTCATTCCCACACTGGAGAAGTGATTTAACCACTAGTTAGTCAGTAATGTTTGTAGGATCCACAAGCATTAATCACTGCTTATACATTTCGTCTCATGCTACAAATAGTCTCTGAATGGTCTGTGTGGCACTACATAGCTTCCATTCCTGGTGTAGAACAGCATCCAATTCTACTCAAGTTGGCACAGGAGGATCACTTTGATGATCGTCACGATATGGCTGAGATATTGCCGATGTGACGTTAAGCTTTAACTCACTCACTCACTTTGATGAATTCTACGTCCAAAAATGTCCCACAGGTTTTCTATGTGGTTCAGGGCCTCACTGCAAGCTGGACAAGGTAGAGTTGTTAGCGCCTCCTGAGAAAGAAACGAAGGAACAGCCCTTGATCTGTGTGGTTGAGTGTTATTGTCCATGTATACAGCTCGAGTCCTTAGAGGATGGTTGTTGAAATGTGACACTATGATGGGATCAAGGATGTCATTTCAATATTTCTCTCCATTCAGTGTGCCTGGTACTGTCACAAGGTCCAGTTTGAAACACATCCCCATATCATCACAGAAGGTTGGCCTTAGAGGTTGGCCGGGTCCGTTTCTCTGATCTTGCCTCCAAACAAGTACTCTCCAATCAGTATCATGCAATAACGTCCTACACTTGTACGACTTACGAATCCTACACCAGGAAAGGAAATTCCAACCCGCTTGAGCCCTGCACCACATCAGACAGTCATGGTTATGTCTGTCATTAAGAAGTGGACAATTGACTAGTTGACATGCTCAAAATCCTGCTGCCTTGTGACAATTCCTAACTCTCATGACAGAAAGTCGTCTGTGGGTATTCCACTGATTACATAATGCAGGGGCACTGGCAAAGGGTCACGTCTTATAAGTCTCACCAATGCTCGGTCCTCACGGTTAGACGGTACTCTTGGTCTTCTGGACCTTGAACGTCTTAGTTTGGGCATGTACCAGTTAAGTGATAACTAGATCTTGATACCCTAGCTGTCTGGCAATTGGGGGTGTCGCGTTAAATCGAAATATTGATATATTGCTATTGGTAAGCACTTAAAGTCTATAAATTGATTGTTAAAATCAGTTTCCGATCAATAGTATCGATTTCATTGAGGAATATTGATAGTTTCGATTGTATTTACCATATCAGTCAAATACATGCAATGCTGTTCAAATTTGGTTTCCTTTTGATCATGAGTGGTAGTAATTTACACATGGTAATGTGGAAGTTTCTTTTTCTTAAATTATTAGGTTAAAGAAAAAAACAAATCAGTCATATATCAAACTTTACTTTTTATTGGTTGTTATGGTTATCACATTCAAAGGAAACTTCAGTTCCAAAGTTTAATTCAACTCTAAAATCCATCTAAAATGATACACTGAAAACTATCGATATTTATCGCAATAGTTGCTTGCAATATCAATAGTTATCGCAATAGTGATTTCCAGACCAATAGTCACCCCTACTGGCAATAGCTCTGCATGACATTCCACCAGTGTTCGTTCAAATTATTCTTCATCTTTTTTTCAGTAGGCAATCTATTCCTTGTCAATCCTCAATTTCACCTGGAAATCTAGTAGTTTTCTGTTAAAGATATCATCTGTGACAGACCAAGAGACAGTTGTTGTTTTTTGTATATTCAGTTACAATGATCTGACATGCACATTACGGCTGCATGCAAAATGTTTGTTTGTTTGTGTGTGCAGACAGGTGATGTGGTGGTAGACCCGATGTGCGGGAAGGCCTCGATCCTGGTTGAAGCCGTTCAAGACTCAATGATAAGCAAAGTAAAGTCCATTTATCAGTTATACATTTACTGATATTTTCATTCAACAGTTCATATTTTGCCACGATGTTATCGTTTTTCAATCATTAGGGATATGATATGATTGTTGAACCAAGTTTACACAAGCTGCTAATGTGAAATGCACACCACACATATTCCGTACTTCATATCAATTAGAGACAGTTTGCCATTAATATCACCTTGCAGTTATCTAAGCCGCCACCCTATACATCTGTGACAAGGGAATCAATCTAATAATCAACACCAACTAAGCATTTTTGTGAGGTTTTATTTCAAATTAATGTTTTTTGAAGAGGCGCTTGGGTAGTTCAGAACATTCTACAATATTCTAAAAGTCTACTTGAGCTACCCATTTACAATAATCCAAATAACCTTCTTAGGACAAGGCTGACATGCTAAACAAATATGTTGGATTAAGATATAGCCGGGAAAATCTGCATTATTGTAATTGTAGCACGTTTTACGTATTGAAATACTATCATGTGACTATTTCAGTGGTTTATATCCAGCAGTCACCCATACCAAAACCATAATGACAAAGCAAATAATTCCCTTAAAGCATTGTATCCCTTATCGGTGTGCAGCATTTTGATTTACTCTGACAGACCTTGCATTACGAGAGCCCACATGCACAAAGGAGGCATAGTACTAGAAGTAACAAATGTTGCAGATCAATTTGTACATGTGGACCCTTGTCTAAATACCACACCAAAGCTCACCTTTTGTCCTGTAGTTTTTTCAAAGTAATGAGATATACAATTGATACAATGGGTCATATTTCAGGCACACTACATGGGTTTTGACATCAGTGATGGGCAGCTGGGTCATGCCATGGAGAACAGGATGTCTGCTGGCACACAGCTGCTGGACCTAGGAACAGCAAGTGTCCTGTGTGAGAAACTCATCTTCTTCTCATTTCATCCTTGGATTAATGTTATCTTGGAACTATTAACTTGTTCTTAAAAAGTTTTAAATTTCTATTAGAGGATTTTTCTTCCTGTGTCATATTCATCAGATGGTGATTAATTGTTTTTTTCATATACTGTACTTCAAGAACATGGCAGGTCAAGAATGATTGATTCTTGTGGCATGTTGTTACGGAGCATAAACATAGTAAATTCTGTTTCAGATTTACCCCTTCAAGATCAGTCAGTGGACAAGATTGTGTGTGATGCTCCATTTGGACACAAGCATACTATAGAAATGAAGATGGACTTATTCTACCAGATGCTGATGCACCAGATGGCAAGGTAACTAGGCAACAGCAAGAAGCATTTAAACACGGGACATGTCTGTTTTTTTGTTTAGGAATTTGTAAATGATTTTACTGGTGTCTGTGACAATTAATTAGGAGGCTTAAGCTTTGCAATAAAGTCTCGAAATAATTACAGAATTCAATTCCAATTTTGAATGTTAAGCCATATCGTCCATCTTCGAAAACATCATTGCTCCATGATTTATTCATGCATCGTTGTGAAATTTCTAGCGAGTATTTGGTATTTGCAGTAACACGTTCAGTCTTTTAGTACATTGTTAATTTCTGTGACCTGTGACCTTTGACCTTCACACACCAAAGCTCATTGATATTTGACTTTAACAAAACAGATACATGTACAGTGCAAATTAAATGTTCACATACCAATAAAATACTAATTGTGTTGACATCTTGGAAATGGCCATGTAATTTATGAAGCTGAAATAGTATGTATAGATGTCAGCAATGTGTGTCTGTTGAGATCAGCAAAACTCACTCAAAGAGCAGCAGAATTCACCAAGCTGTTTTGAAAATGGCATTTTGGCTCAACTCTCAGCATTTCTAGAGATACACAATATTTGTGCTCAGAATTATGTCTCCCCCAGAATGGAGGGAGACATATTGTTTTTGGCACGGTTCCCGTCGGCGTTGGCGTTGGCGTCGGCGTTCCCACCGTTTCCGGACCATAACTCAGAAACCGTTTAATATTTTTTCGCGAAACTTTGTATACACATTAACCCAGCACTGAAGTGGTGCCTTTTGCTATTTAGAGATTTTTGACATTTTTATTTTTTCTCGTTTCCATGGAGATAACTTGAACATAGACTCTGAATGGGGGTAAGCTTGGTTTCCGGACCATAACTCGGAAACCGTTTAATATTTTTTCGCGAAACTTTGTATACACATTAACCCAGCACTGAAGTGGTGCCTTTTGCTATTTAGAGATTTTTGACATTTTTATTTTTTCTCGTTTCCATGGAGATAACTTGAACATAGGCTCTGAATGGGGGTAAGCTTTGTTTCCTGACCATAACTCAGAAACCGTTTAATATTTTTTCGCGAAACTTTGTATACACATCAACCCAGCACTGAAGTGGTGCCCATTAGTTGTTTGAAATTTCTAGGAGTTCTATTTTTGTCTCTGTTATTTAGTAATGGAGGGTGGGAATGAAGAGATGGGGTTTAACGTGAAGTAAACGAATGTTAGGGGAGTGGGGGGAGACATATGTTTTTACGAGTAAAAACACTTTCTAGTTGTTTGCGCTTTAATGCCATTGATGGTAATTTGATCCTTTAGAATTTGATATAAAATGTTGCAAGAAGTTGGGAGGAATATTCAGGTGAGCTGCAGAGCAGCATGGATCTAATTTTTATCAAAAACTTAAGCATGTATACAGAGTTCTTCAAATAATAGAAGAACAATACTTTTGATACTTTCATTCAATATCATAAGCTCATCATAACCTTCTTCACTGCAGAGTTTTGAGGGTAGGAGGCACTGCCGTGGTGATGACAAGTTCTGTCCTGAAAGCCACACTGCTCAGCTGTATTCACACACCACATAGAGCAGTAGCCCACAGCCCACTAACCAACAAGACAGATGTGTCTAGCCATATACATCAGACCCCTTGTCAAGAAACAAAGACAACGTCAACGGAAGATGAAAACAGCAGTGGAGGACATCAGGGTAAGGATAAGGACTGTGTTGACATCAGCCTGACAACATCTGTGACCACAGGACCAAGTAGCAACACTCTTCTCAGAGCAGACCCTCCTTGTCAAGGTCCTGGAGTCATTACGAATATGACTGTATCAGACATTAAGATGGACAAAGTTGAGAGTGAGGATAAATCAGATTTTTCGAAACAGCGTGATATTGATGAAGAGTCCGCCAATTCTGTATGTGGATCTGTTGCTGGTGTAGAGGAAGGTGTTGAACCCCGGGTAAGAGATGTGGACAGTCCTGAGAGTAGGGGAACATCAGGTGACTCGGACAAGCCTACTGAATCTCTTCTACGTTTGTGCAGTGAGCACTATATAAAATTAGGGGAAACTCATGCATTTATTTTAGTTTTAAGGAAAGAAAATAAATCCTGATGTCTTTTTATTGACTTCTTGAGGCTACTGTTCAGTTATTGTTAGTACTTAGGGCTGGCTCAACGTGAGTGAGGTTGTTTTTAACTATTGGAGTCAGCAATATTCCATCTATATTCCCTCAACCTGTAAATACTCTAGTCTTGACCAGGTGTTGAAGTGAGGTGAAATTGAGTTTAACGTCGCGTCCAAGATTATTGCACTTATATAGCGACGCGCGTGCGTGTGCGCGCTTGTACTAATCCGAACTAATGCTGTTTTATAGTGCTAGCTCACTGAGATACCATGCCACAGTTAAACATGAATACCCAACTCAGACACAGTATACTCCAAGCCGACCAGTCCTTGTTTTAGCCCCTTTATGCCAAGCGCCAGACAGGGTAACAACAAGTACAATCTTTTAACGTCTTTTGGTATGACGTTGCCGGTGATCAAAACCAGGACCTTCCCCCTCTCCGGCCGGACGCTCTACCACTAGACCACGGAGGCGGTCGACGGCGGTTGAAGGCATGAACAACAATAAATGGTGTCAGGGTAACATGACATCATAAGCCAGTTCAGACATGACCACCCAATCCTCACTAATCAGTGTGGGGTTCTTGGGACCACTTCTCATCCAGAAGGTTGTTCTATACAGGTGTAAATTTGCACAAAATGTCAAGTTCAGAATTTCGTGAAACCTTTTAACCATTGATACAAAAATACCTTCTTGACCACCAAGCTAAGGTTTCTTGGCAGGTGACATTGTTACACATCTAAGCAATATCAAGGACATGAGATGGTTATCAGCAGTACATTTTACTTTGTATTAGTCAGCTGTGAAAATGTTATTATTATCCCCCGCCACGAAGTGGAAGGGGGATATAGGAATGGGTGCCGTCCGTCTGTCCGTCCGTCACATTTCTTTTCCGGAGCAGATCTTGAAAACCGTACCATATTTCTTCACCAAACTTGGCACAAAGATAGATCTAGTGGTGAACTGGTGCCTTTTGATAGTTTGGGATTTAAATTTTTTATTTTTTTTTGAGTTTCCATGGCAACGACTTTGATTTAGACTGAAAATGGCGGTAGTCCTCGTTTCTGGAGCAGATCTTGAAAACCGTACCATATTTCTTCACCAAACTTGGCACATATATAGATCTAGTGTTGAACTGGTGCCTTTTGATAGTTTGGGATTTTTAAAAAAATTATTTTTCGAGTTTCCATGGCAACGACTTTGATTTAGACTGAAAATGGCGGCAGTCCTGGTTTCCGGAGCAGATCTTGAAAACCGTACCATGTTTCGTCACCAAACTTGGCACATAGATAGATCTAGTGTTGAACTGGTGCCTTTTGATAGTTTGGGATTTTTAAAAAAGTTATTTTTCGAGTTTCCATGGCAACGACTTTGATTTAGACTGAAAATGGCGCTAGTCCTCATTTCGGAGCAGATCTTGAAAAACGTACTATAGTTCTTTACAAAAAGGCCCAGCGAACATAGTTCACAGGAGCTAATGCATTGCACACACCCGACATGTCATATTGGCGGGGGATGTGAGTATTTCATGCTTGTTTATAGTAGGTAAAGTATCAGGAGTGCAGTAATAACCTTGAATATCTCTGATGATCATATTCATGTTTCTTCTTAGGGTGTTACAACCTGACACTTATAAATACATGTGGCCCATAATCTTAATATGCACAGGATTGTGTGTAGAGGGAGAATTCTTCTGTGTTCCAAATACAATCTTCTTCGGTACACCCGTCAGTAACCTCAGATTAGATCGCAATGTCCTAGATGACAAATCACAACACAATGTCCTAGGGCAAATCACAAAACATTGTCTGAGAGGACCACATTCTTCCATTTGATTTTATTGATAACATGTTGCAATAGGATTTATGAAAATTTAAATTTGCAGCAAAAATTGGAACCATCCATTTCATATCATATACATGTACTACTAAATGTTTTCATGTTGGTATAAGATAACAAAACATGAAATATAACCACCAAATATATGAATAACTATTCCTCATAATACATACAGTGGTACATACATTGTAACTTCCACTGATATTTCTCTGTATATGTGTGTGTGTGTTTTCGTTTTTTGTTTGTTTAAGGACATCCACTATGAAGTACCACAATTAAGTTGTTCTTTAACACCACAGTCAGCAGTATTTCAGACATATCAGACATGCTTGTAAATAATCAAATCTGGACCACATGTACTAGTAATCCATATTATGAGCAATGTTCCAATGCTGTAGGTATAATGACAAGCAATCAATCATGTCAACGAGTCTCACATGATGTAGCCCTACACATAATGTGCCACAAGGTGGAACAAGCACCACGTTTCTGTCTGCTGTATGTTGCTATAGTTGGCAGAAAACTCGAGCCAGATCTGCCGTGCCTTATTTCAAAGGTTACAATATGTAACATAGAAGTGTTACAAAAACAGGTAAACTAGGCTGACTAATTGACAGTCCTAGAAGGTTTGCTTGAAGTTACTAAAACCCACATTGTGGGTGTGGCCTCAAGACTGGAGCACTGTCCTTATAAAACTTATTGCACATTGATCTCTTGGTTCACTGTCAATAGCATGTTCAAACGCATACAAACTGCCATGTCATAATCATATTTTGTCAGTTTCCTTGTATATAGATTGAAACACCAGTTAGTCAATATCTACTTCTAGAGCATTACTGTAGATAATGTCATGTACAAAGGGACACTACTCTGTACCCTTGATTTGCTAAATTGGAAGTTGTTATCAAATCTGGGATATTTGGCACTGTCAGGTCAACAGGTCTCCATAGTTTGTCTATCACCTAAACTATAATAAGGCCTCTTAGTTTTAATCACCTGGTTTATGGTGATACGGTTTGAGGTTGAAAAAATGTTTTGAAGTTACCTTTTGCCTCTTTGTCTGGTTTCAAGGCTACATCTGGCCCCTTTATCAGGTGAATGATATTGTATCACTCACATGATGAAGGGTCAACAAGTACCTTTGTGTATAGAAGTAGAAAACCCATAAATTCATAGTACATACCCAGTTGTACATAATGTGCAACTAATATTCTCATCCCATCCTAGTCTCTTGAGATAACTACAAAAGCAAACTTGATAAAACCATATATGAAAATAGAAATTGTATCTTGAATAGATATGTCATTACTATTTGTATCACTGATTCTTAAACATAAATCATTCAAATAACCTTGGTAAGCTCCAGCTTTATCAAATATCCCCATAACCTCTGGTAATTTCAAACAAATCACATAAATTATGTAAAATTTATAAAAAAAACCAACCTGTAATACGATTGAGACATTTGGTTGATCAAAACTGATTGTTATTTAAAATCAGCTATGGCTTATCACAACTATGAAAGTTTGAATCAATCATGTTAAATACTGGTTACAAATCTACCATGCTGCCTGTCACACGTGTGGGTGACATCCTGATAAATGTATCAGTCACAGGGTAGCACCAACGTCCTCACGTCACCAACAGCCCACAATCCTGGAAGTCCCATCACAAGCTGAATGTCTCCTTACACTTGTCGGCCACCATCTTGGCAATAGCAAGGGATGAAGTAGCAGCGGGTGATGGAGCATTCCGTACATGGAGGATGCGACTAGCAAGGTCTCCCTCACCCTTGTCAAACACAAAGTCCTCAATAAGGTTTCCCTCTCTGTCCAAAGCCTGTGCTCGCACCCCTGCTGGACCCCTGGAGATACAAATGCACACTCTACTTCAAAATAGATGTACATGCATTAGGGCATAAGGCATACTCTCAAGTGCTGAGTACAATTTTTCTTTTTTATGGTTTTGTTTTGTTTGTTGTTTAACGCTCTGCTCAGCAATATTCCAGCTATATTACACCTGTCTGTAAATAACTGAGTCTGAACCAGATAATCGAGTAATTCACATCATGAGCATCAATCTACACAACTATGATACAATGACATCCATCATCCAAGTCCGAGAGCTTGACCACCTGATCCTGTTAGTCGCCTCTTACAACAAGCATTGGTTGCTGAAGACCAATTCTAACCAGATCATGGTTATTCTGATTAACAGTGAGTGAGTGAGTATGGTTTTACACCGCTTTTAGCAATATTCCAGCAATATCACGGCAGGGGGACACCAGAAATGGGCTTCACACATTGTACCAATGTCGGGAATTGAACCCGGGTCTTTGGCGTGACAAGCAAACGCTTAAACTTTTCAAATGGACATCTTTACCTTTTCACATCAGAGAACTTCAATGAAGGCACAAATCTCTGTAGTTGTTTAACCTGGGCTCTGTAATAAATCCCCTTATACATTTCTTTCACTCCAAACCCTAAATGTCGCCACGCCAGCTTCCTTAAGCCTCTGGAAACAAAGAAAAGTTCAAAAGTTAAAAACAGGTCTGTTCCAAATCCTTCCATATTTGTATAGGTACATCTCCTAACTTCTGCTGTCACCTACAATTTGCAGTGCGATTTTGAAGTTGTGCACCAATCAGCACCTGTGCTCATTATCAAGTCATTTTCCAAGTGGTTTGTGTATCTTCAAATTGTACCAGGGGTATTTGAGGTGGATACCTGAAGCTAAGAGCATCTGCTAGTTCTGGTATGTTTATTTCCGTGTATCCGTATCCCTCTCTCTTGAAGGCCAGGACTGCATTCGGGCCCAGCCACACGTTCCCATCCACACGCGGCGTGAAGTGAACACCCAGGAACGGAAAGCGGGGATCAGGAACCTTAACAACAGAACAGAGGGGCTAGTCCGTTAATATGACAATAAATATTACCTTTCACAATGATGATGCTTACCTGTAATGGCCAGGTCACTAACACACACTGGGTCTAGAGGGAACAGTGATATGGAAAAAGCCAAAAGAAGCAACACTGTACCTACAGCTGTAGGTTCAGGAAAAGTAAACAAAATGAAGAAATAGAGGTCAAATCTCCAATAGATGCTTTTATGTGAAAGTTTTAGCCATATATCGCCTCATAATCATATATGGAAAAGAGTAACTCCAAATCCTAGAAACAGATCAACCTCGATTGCATGAAACATAAAATCTTCATGTCTTTTGTACAAATATTAAAAGGATTTTGAGCTCCAGAAACAATTTTTACTAGGCAGTCATTAATATGTGGTGTAAATAGAGAAACTCACCCTCATGTATTTTGAAACAAATATACCAACACTCGATAAAAGTGGAAAAACTCTGAGTCTTGCCGAGGAGCTTTTCTACTTTTAATGAGTGTTGATATTTGATATTAAAAGATGAGGGTGAGATTTTATTTATCATTCAACATCATTCTTCCAACTTTTTCAGTTTGTAGACAGTAATAAGCAGTGTCTAAAATGTAAAAAGTACTGCTGAGAGCTTCAGTAGCAGAGGCCTTAGTGATGCTATTTGATTGTGACATCATGGTAACCAATGACGTCACAATGGTCTGCAAAGCATTGTGATGCAATTTCATTACAGCAATATCTACAATGTAGATATGGCTTGATCTCACCCAAGCGATATCTCCTGTGGGAGCCAGTTTTGTATGATAAAAAAAGTTGTCCCCAAAGACCTAAAACTGTTTCTCCTTCATACGTACAGGGTAGATATTTCCCCGCACCAGGTCACATTTCTCGGGTATGAGTTCCAGATACTCTCCTCTGAAGGGCACAATCCGTGGTTCCCTGTTACACCCGGACTTCTCTGCCAACTTGTCTGACTGCAGACCGCCACACGTCACCACATATTTACACCGCAAGTCAATATTCTGAACAGAAATATATCGGTGGATCATAGGTCTTCGGACGTCATACAATTTTGGACAAGCATGTTTATCGTGATTACTCGCGCCATGACAGTGGGGGGGTTGTAGCATCACACAAACATTGTAAATACTCAGATGATGGCTTGTTTTAAAGAGAAAGTTGTGTTTTAAAAGTTAATGAGATGTTTCACTGTTGTTAATGTGATTAGAGAGAGAACAAATGTTTCTTAAGCGTCTGAAAACCCATAACCCATCAGGCACATAGCTAACATACTTAAACTTGCACAAAAGGGGTATTGAGTGAGGAGAGGGCTTCAGTCACTACCAGCCAAACATAAAATATCAAGATAGACACAGTTTTATGGATAACAACTTCTTTAATACTGTGAAAACGACGTTTCGGTATAGATCCTTATACCGTTGTCAAACAAGACTGAATGAGGGACATAGTACATATATTCTGTACTATGTCAAGCAAGACTGAATGAGGGACATAGTACAGAATATATATAGTAGGTACTATATATATTCTGTACTATGTCCCTCATTCAGTCATGCTTGACAACGGTATGAGGACTATACCGAAACGTTGCTTTTCACTGTATTAAAGAAGTTGTTATCCATCAAATTGTGTCTATCTTGTCATCCGTCAACTTCTAAGTAATGCCTATCAAACAATTTATTTAATATCAATTGACATAGATCCAGAACTCCTAACTGAAAGGCTGTCTACAAGATTCAGTCAAGCCTGCCTACTGGAAAGGTTACAGTTCACATTACTTAGTGTGATCCCCAATGATAATTGACAATGTACCACAAACCAATCCAACTTCTTTACACAAAACAAATTAAACCAAAAGAGGTCTGGGGTAGAATAGGCTTCATCATATGTTTGTCCTATGCTTGTTTTATGCCAAAATCAGCAATATTCCAGCTTTGTGACGGTGGCCTGTAACTAATGGAGTCTGAACCAGACGAACAAACCAGTGATTATTATTATCAGCAGCCATGTCCCATGCTGTTGGTGTACTTGCTGTCGGTGTACTATGACATGCAATCAACCGAGTCATGGAGCCGGACCAACTGATCCTACTTCCTCATGCTTCAGAGGTGCTGCATCTTCCCGAGGCAAGGGAGTTAACTGACTTTAAAAGTCCAGTTTCCTACCTTGCCGAACTAGGCTGGAATTACTGGGCTCGATCGTAGCGCCACCAGTGGCTATTACGAGTTATATCCCTTCTAAGCCTCTCCTTTAGACCAATCAGATTCCACCTCTCGTATCACTTACATTTGTTTCAAACAAAAAGACGATCTCATCGATAATCAACATCTATGCTGTGATAAAACGGGTCTTTCATTGTGAAGTGCATCAAATCACATGAGCACCTTGATCAAAAACATTAAAAAAGACTTGGAAAATTTCTGTTGACAACAAGTTGGCGGTGCACATGCTTTACAAATCCTGCAATGTTTACTAACCAGATTTTGATTTCGTTGCACGATTTTGATTGAACTATGCATAGACTCGTTAGTCCAGCCAAAATGTAACGTCATAATACCAGTCTAGTTCGGCAAGGGTGGAAACTGGCCCTTTATAGTCAGTTAACTCTCTTGCCTCGGGATGTAGAGATGTCGAGGACCAATTTTACTGGTTGCTTGTCCTACTGAGACAGATTAATATTATGCTCAGGCTATCAACCACTGGTTTATCTGCGCCAGACTTTATTTTTTACAGGTCGCTCATGGATAATATGTTAACAGCTGCATAAAAGCAAATTCAAATAACATGAACATACTTGAGTATTTTTTCCCGATATTGTGACTGGATACTGAAGGCCACCAGTGCTTCCTTCCTCACTCTCCCTGGATACGTCAAACTTGGTCACTTCGTAGTTAGTGAAAACATGGCCGCCAAGTTTCTCAAATGTTTTCCCATAATCTCTGGTGACCACTCCCCAGTCTACGATGCCTGTATGTGGTGAGTGGATGGCTTTAAGGCCCTATAAGGAATGGAAACAGAAACATGTAGTATTTCACTATATTCTTATACTTTACACATTCACAACCTGACACGTTAAAAAAATTGAAAATATGGGGACATTTTTCAAAATAAATATTAAATATAATATTGGTAGCTTTTAAATCTTTTGTCCATTTTTTTTTAAATTGAGCTTGACAATGCTTGACATTTACGGTGTTTATAATTGACACTAGAAATAAACTGAATCTAATGCAGCGACTGATTGATTTGTAAGTATGGGCAGAAATCCTTAAGTCCCCCCCAAAATACCACACTCGAGTAATGTATGTGTCCAAAACAAGGGAAATATTCTTTCATATACGAGTGCCCAACACATTTCTGGCAAGGATCTTCTTGGGTGTGAGGTCAAAGGTATTGTGCTAAAGCTTGTACGTTTGCTGGTGTTGGGAGTGATTGTGTCTCACCTACCACACAGTTGGGTTCGATGTCCTTGATTTCATTCGGACCCAGCACTCGAAGATCCTTCACACCATTTTCAAGTCCTCGCTCGTACAGTTTGTCTAGTCGGGGAATCTCGTCTGGCTCTACAGCCACGATCAGCTGAAAATAACATCACTATGTCATTATTAACTGAGAACATCAATAACTACTTATATCATACAACTGTGGCAAGAACATGCACTTTTGCAACAAGAGTGAGTGAGTGAGTGAGAGACACAGAGGCAACTGTGGCAAGAACATGCACTTTTGCAACAAGAGTGAGTGAGTGAGTGAGAGACACAGGCAACTGTGGCAAGAACATGCACTTTTGCAACAAGAGTGAGTGAGAGACACAGAGGCAACTGTGGCAAGAACATGCACTTTTGCAACAAGAGTGAGTGAGTGAGAGACACAGAGGCAACTGTGCCAAGAACATGCACTTTTGCAACAAGAGTGAGTGAGTGAGAGACAGAGGCAACTGTGCCAAGAACATGCACTTTTGCGACAAGAGTGAGTGAGTGAGTGAGAGACACAGAGGCAACTGTGGCAAGAACATGCACTTTTGCGACAAGAGTGAGTGAGTGAGTGAGAGACAGAGGCAACTGTGCCAAGAACATGCACTTTTGCGACAAGAGTGAGTGAGTGAGTGAGAGACATGACAAGCCAACACTTTAACCACAAGCCTACCCAATCTCCCCTACAAGGATGATGGATACAAAACCCAATGACAAAAAAACTGCTTACACTCTTCAAGATGAAGGATGATAATTCAGCAGAAATAAGGTAATGTACACTGATGTAGGAGCTAATGATGTGTTCCAATGATCAATTATGTTCAACCTAATCCATTTTCAATGTCCATTATCAGTTGTGTAAAACAGAAGTTTATTTGACACATTCTTTATTTCAATTATTGAACCATTCATTATCTTCCATAAATCAGTACATAATAACACAAAATGAACTCATAAATAATACACAAGACAATTTCATCCATTGAATTCTGTTGATAAAAATTCAAGTCATGATAAACAATGATGAAAACAGATATTTTGACGTGTAATATCTGGAAAATACACATTTTAACCGTCACTGATTATTACCAATGATTGATCAGTATCTAACCAACTAGTGATAAATAATAATCAATGATAACATCTCAACCAATTCCCCAACACCAGTCTGTGCAAAATCCTTCTGTGCCTATCACCCCAAATTTGTCATTTTAGATCATTAGTAGATTTAGTTTCATGTATGGACACTAATTATCTTCTTGACAGGAAAACATTTTACGACACTAAGGCTCCGGACTATTACCTAACTGTAACACTAGCATAAACAAAATGGTAGAATGCAACAGGATGGTAGTTCTGTCTATTGCGTACTGACCTTGCCAACCTTCTTGTATGGCACATTATGTTCATCACAGTACTTGTATGCAAGTTCAAGTCCCTCCACACACAGCTTGGCCTTGAGGGTCCCAGGGGTGTAATAGATGCCTGCATGTATCACACCACTATTGTTGCCACTCTGGTGGGCCGCTGAAGCAATTTATACATTGATATATCAAATTTATCTGTGCAAGGAGTGGTAGATGTATTAAGAGTAATAGTACTGATATACAAATATATTTGATATTAGAAGCTGAACTTCTTACCAGTAATGCATGTGTGCATTGGATGATTTTATGCATGCTTCATTTCATTATCAACTGTGAACATAATGTTAATGGTGATCAAACTAAATAATTTTACTCCATCAATAAGTGATCCAATATAAGTAGTTCTCAAAATATGTTTCAAACAGCACACATAATGGTTGAAAACAGACACAAAAAGGGGGGTAACTCTGTCAGCCTTACATATATCTATATCCAACTGAAGTGGAGTATAAGGCTTTTATCACACAGAACATTTTGTATCAACTAAACACAGATAGGTTATCATCAAATGGAAGAAAATAATTGACTACCCAGGATATTTTCTTTCTCAACCACGGCAAACGAAAGTTGAGGATGTCTCATTTTCAACTCCCTTGCTGTGGCCATGCCAACAATGCCCCCACCGACGATGATGACGTCATACTCTGAGGTTTGGCTACTGAAATATTGAAACTGATGTGAGCAATCAAGGAGTGGAATTTGATGTGGCTAAGGTTCAGATGTCAAATTGAAGCAGTGAGAATTAAAATGCCAGGATCCATTCACACATGTTTGAGTCACAAGAAAAGATGACATTTCTTAATCAATTCCTTTTCCTCAAGGAGGGGTACACAGTGATGCAATGGTGGGAATGAAAATTACATTCACATCTATGAAAAATCAGATAATTACATTTTTACCCTTTATGACAACATGATGTTTCTTTAAGATTTTCATGAATATATTAATTGGTATAAAGTTTATCCTTTGGAACACTTCATAATTAAATCAATAATTACTAATAAAAATTTATTTGAAATTTCTAAGTGACACGTTTTTCATTTTGTACCGTCACAGACATGGGTGAAAACCACTCGCCCCAAGTCCACGTGCTAATCATTAGAACTTTAATGAAGATTGCAAACCTAAAGCAATTTCGCCTTTCTTGTGGTTTTCTGGAGTCCATTCCTAATTGACTTGAATGGAATGTAAAAGAGAATTAATTTCTTCAAAGAGAAAGAATCTTTAACAAGTTTTTTATGTACTAGATTTTCTTTAAAAGATGCTTGTTTACTAACAAGTACCTCAAGTATTTAGGGAGAATGTGAACAAGACAATCTTATGTCCTACTCAATAATTATACATTCATAGGTTTTTTAACTTTATTTGAAAGAATTGTTAGATAAGTTGTAGTAAGGTCAACGTGACCTAAGCTGAAATGTAAATCAGTCTATTGCCTATCTACTGAGCTCTGGCATATATTGGTTTGTTATTACCCCAGTGTTGTGTGTGTGCTAATTACCAGGCACAACAGACATATTACTCATAGCTATGCTGTCTCTTCTAATAAACTAATTAGTAGTAAGGGCTGGCTGATTTCGTTATCTGTTCCATTCCCTTAAACTCAATTAATTAGTTGTGTCTTAAAATGAAAGGCACTCTATCAAGTTGTCACGAGGATATCATCAAGGCTTTCTGGAAAATGAAGGCTGGTCAGGTGTGAAATGTTTTAGATAACTGTGCATTTTTTTGTCATATTTACTTTTAATGGGTTGTGTGCTGTGAAAACAAGATGGCTCAATGTCATTAATTGAACTGGAAACACAATAGACAGGTCTATTTCCATCAAACTTTTTTTCAATTTTGATGAAATGATATGTGAGATGGGAATTTGAAAGCAAACATCTATCATATTAAAAACAATTAATACTTGATAATCAGGGTGCTTCCATTGCACATTTTTTCTTTCCAATTTGATGAAATGATGTACATTAGAATGTGATTTGGTTTGTTTGTTGTTCAACACAGCACTCAGCAATATTCCAGCTATATGACGGCGGTCTGTAAATGATCGAGTCTGGACCAGACAATCCAGTGATTAGTATCATGAGCATCAACCCACGCAATTGGGATTGATGACCGTGCATCAACCAAGTCAGCGAGCCTGACCACCCGATCCAGTTAGTCGCCTTTTACGACAAGCATAGTCGCCTTTAACGTCAAGCATGGGTTGCTGAAGACCTATTCTACCCCGGAATCTTCACGGGTCCATTAGAATGTGAATGATAAAAGTTTCCATTAGAATGTGAAAGGAAACTTTTATCATTATGAAGAGAACATATAATCGGTTAAACCATGGTAATCAAACACAATGTGTCCTGTGACCAGGGCTGGGACGAGCCCAAATTTACTACCCGGGTACCCACCCCCCTATTACCCGACTCTACCCAGGTACCCACTGTAGGTCTCAGGAGATGTCTCAAAATGTCTGATCGGGAACATTTTTAGCATAGCCCTGGCAAAACGTATTTAGATACATGTATTAAACAATCTGGTCATTCATACAATGAAGTTGAATTAAGTTATATCTTTATTCAACCATTTGAAGAATCAGAAGGAATGGGTGCATAGTTAGAAAGAAATGAGAACATTATTGACTTTGATGGATTATGGTAGTGTAACCATAGAATTCTAGATAATTTTTGTCATTAAACAATGTATCACAGACTAACCACGGGTCCGGGTAGTCCTGTGGATACCCGAGTTACCCGTCACAGCCCTACCTGTGACTAAATCATTGAAAGTTTCAAACAATTGTTTTATTTATATGTGTGTTGGTAACTGTTAATGAGCCCTGGCTACAGATGACGTTACGGAATCCATGGACCTTTAAGGTGTGACGAGCAGGCAACCACATGCAATGCACATGTTGGTTTGACATATAACTTTCTTTAACATTCTAGATAATGGTCAACCTACATAAAATTGAAGGAAGCTGTGTGTTACAGAAGTCCTACTTGTCAAATGTCTGATCAATTAAGCTTGCCTACAGATCTATGGAAATTAATGACATGTCAACGCCTTCATCACGTGTCTGTCATACCCCGAACTAGCATGTCTGTGTGTCTGCCAAATGCAACTGCTAGAGTACGGGAAATATTCGCATAATCGTATCCGCGAACTCTGCAACAACCGTCCCCTTACGATGGAAGCAGCCATAATGACCGAAATAACTGCACGCTATTCTGAAGCTTATGTCCCTATCATATAAAGGGAGGCAACTGCGTTGAGATTTGCAATGGAATGTTTTCTCGTGAAATGCCGACGGGCACCTGCGCGAGTTCGCCGGCGTTCGGTTGAGTCCGCCTTGTTTACCGTTGTGTAGCGGAGAGAGCCGAGAATCGCACGCTTGTGATACCGCTTGGTTGGAAGGCGGAAAGCACCTCAGTGGCAAGGTGTGAGGAAATGGAGGAAGAGTTGAAATGTCCGATCTGCCGACGATTTTATACTAAACCAGTTTTATTTCCTTGTTCACACTCTTTCTGCATGGCCTGTGCTGTCAATCTGCAGGAACCTGCCCAGCAGTTGATTCCGCAAGTGACATGTAGCGAAGACGGCACCCAGGTAATCAACGACACCGTCGACTTTCCTGAAATTGACAAAGTCAGCATCGTTTCGGAAACTGACAGCGGGGTGGTATGTAATAGCCGACCATCAAGCTACGTGGGTACCCCAAGCCTGGCCAACATCTTTACCCAGACGCTACAGAGTTGCACCTATGGAATTAAGTGTCCCCTGTGTCACAAGCTTGTGTTTCTTGACGACTCCGGGGCTCATGCGCTACCCCCACATCGTGTTCTAGAAGCGATCGTGGATAAATACACCCAACAAAAGCATGTTGAGATTAAATGTGAACTTTGTGAAAATGGCAGTTCCAACGCTACAACTATGTGTGAGCAATGCGAGGTGTTCTACTGTGATACCTGTCGCGATAGTTGTCACCCGTCCCGAGGGTCACTGGCAAAACATAATCTGGTCGCCCCTGCCCAGGGGAAGACGATCCTCAGGGCCAAAAACAAATCCAAGGATGCTAAATGTTACGAACATTCGGAGGAGCAGCTGAGCATGTTTTGCACTGGATGTAAAATACCTGTGTGTTTTACCTGTTCTCAGGAAGGACGCCATACCACTCATGATGTACAAGCTTTAGGGGCTTTGTGTAAAGGGTCTAAGGTAAGTCTCATTGTTATGATTACACCCACATCCTTGAACGACGTACATCCCCTAATCCTAATACACAAACCCGTGTAGATTAGACCCCCTGTTCAGTATATACAAGCCACACGGCCTAGTATGCTAACCCACAGACCAATAAACACTGTGGTGTACATGTGTTTTTCAAATCGATGTATTTATTGACACGCAATATACAAGGTTGTGTAGATCAGATTCGTTACACAGCTTATTATATAGCTGCATGTATGAGTACGAACTGGTCTTGTAATACACTGCACAAAGTGGATTTATAATGACTCTTCTTTCAATCTTATAAAAGAATAACACAAAGATTTGCAATTTGACAACCTTGATATAAATCAGTCATGTGATCTCTCAAAGCCAGTTTGCATTTGATCTATTGAGCTTTAAATTTCACCTCTATTTCAGTAACCTTAATTGTCTGTCTGTATATTGCTAATTTATGTCGTCATGATTGACGTGAAATACACAACTTCCGAAAAGTCACTGAAGGAGTACAATGGCCTGAAAGGAAAAGTAGTATGGATTTCATGACAAACATCAGTCATTTCAAGTGCCATGCCTGATGATTGTCATTACTGTGTAGCATGTCAGAAAGTAGTATAGTAGAGATATATTGTGTATTTAATGTGCAATATATGCTGAAGTGGGGATCATTTGTAATAAATACACTCCCTTTCTGTGTCAGGCCTCGACCCATTGGGGATTTACAATAAAAACACTCTGACAGGCTTTAATTCCAGTCATACTGAACGAATGCATTGCTGGTTCGTTCAATGGAAGCTTACTAGACATCTCCTCCATCTGAGCCTATTGCTGTACAGGAAAGTTCAGATTCAAATTACTCTGTTTGTTGCTGAATTATTAGACCATAAGGAAATACCCCCATCAGTACATGTGGTCAACACTATAGGTGTATTGTTCTGAAGAAATGAGCACTATGATTTAAATGTAATAGGATATCTTTATTATGAGATTTTCTTTGATATATCCAAATACAGGATAGGATCTGCTTGAGTTGAAATGTAAGATCTAATTTTAGGATCTTTGATTAGATTTTCTATTAAGCCAAATATTAATCATAGCAATTCCCGACTGAGTGTGTGGAAGATGTATGAGCGTATGTGAACCCACACCCCCTGTGACCAGCCAAGCCCTGGCTGTGACTGTCCCCTATTGTGTGTGGCGCCACAGCTAGGGTCCAGCCAGTCCTCCGAGGGGGCTCGCTGAACCCTAACACCTGGAACGGCCCCTAACAAAAGAACCTTTAGTCACACCAACTGTCATATTTGGTTAGCTGGTAGAAAATGTGTTGGAAATCTGGCATGGGCCTTTATTGATCATGCATGATGAGAATGAGAAATTTGGTATTGAGTGTTGATGACAAGTCATATTGCAAGTTTTAAAATATTAATTCTTCCTGTAGGGATTATGGATGTGGAATAAATAGGTGGTGACTTTATAAAGCTTGTACCTTGTGTATCATTGTTGTACATTTTAATATTGTAACAATATACTATGGATATCTGCCTGGCTCAACCTTAAATGTGTACCACAAGCAACTTTTGGAAACTATATGCAAACATGTAAAAACTTTATTGAAGGGTGGGTGATATTATTTTGTGGGAAACATTTGTATGTTGTGACTTACATTGTAATACATTATATATTTTTGGGGGTGGGGGGTGGTTTCCTCCTTGACCATGAATAGTACATTAAACATCTCTTTTTTGCAACTTTATAAGACATTTCTCAATGTCAAAATGTCCCCACTTTGACCAATCATATTAGGGATATTTGGAATAAAGTAAAGGTAGTGATTTTTATCAAGCTTGGATCTTGTGAAGGATCTGGTTGTACACTTTACTGGAGTCAACTATTAAGGATATTTGCCTTTCTCAACCATGGATATACATGAAACACCTATTGACAAATTTGTAACACATTTCCAAACTTCACTCAACTCCACACTTTGATCTGTGAAGTACAGATTAAAACATTATGTGTTGTCCTTTTCAAAGTACACATAACTCATCAAGTAAAACGTCAAACCAAATATGAACTTCCTACTTCCATAAATACATTGCACTGGTAATCTTTGTGAACTGGGTCTTTCAGTTCACTGAGAAACAAGCATAGTTGGGTCCATGTCATCTGGCAGGTAATCACATAGAGAGACAGGGAGAGAGCAGCTCGCCTTGCAGTGCCGTCTTCACATCTCTCGTAGATACAACTGTGCTGATAACTACTCCTATTTCTTATATCTTGTACTTGTGTGCATTGCTACTCTCTTTCTTTCACAAGTAATTATGAGGTTTGCACTGTTCTACCTGATAAGACCTAAAAAATAAATGTTGTTCTGAAAGTATGGATCTTACAGTCTGTAACTGTAAGCAGCAAGATTGTTTGATGTAGTTTTAAAAAGAAAATGTTTGTAAAATGTGAAGTAAATGGTGTACATGTTGTATGTGTTGTATTTGTTAAAATGACCACGAGAGGGATAAACATGTCATAAGAGATGAAAGGGACTTTACCATAAATTAGGGTCATCCTGGTGATCAGGAGCACGGTTATTTGTAGCCTTCAGCAATATTACCATGTTTGAGGATAATGAGGTCATTTGAAATATCACTGAGTCTATAACCATTCTCATATAGCTTTGCCTTAGCTACAGCTGAAACATACTTGCTACGATGCTGTAAATTCAATTGTCTATATATATCCACTAAAAACACTTCAAAGATTTCCACATATGCTTGCATAAGAAGGTATAACAGAATATGTTTGTTATTCCCATAACGTAAAGATACAGTTTCAGGTTTGGTTACAACCTCTGTTTTACCGAAAGCACCAGGCTTTTCGTGATTTGATATTACAGAAAAACTAATATGGCAATCGTATGATAAAGCTTGATCCACCTAAAAGTTAATATGTTAATGGACTGTAGTCTTAACATAGCTGCACCTGATACTAGTGACTGTGTATGAAAAGATAACAGAGAGATGCTGAATACGATATGTCGGTGTAGTGAGCTGTTTGCACATTCAAGGAGGTTCATCTCTCCACTCACTTTCCCCAATCCCATGAGGCCCAATTAGACTTATGGCAGTGAGACCGCTCTCCAACTATCAGTATAATCCTCTGTCTTTCCTACAATCTTACCAAACGGGAGTGGAAGATAAACCGTCACAGCCTCCCCATATCATGGATGAGTAGATGATAGTTGCATTGTGTTGCAACTGACATGCAGTAAGGTAGCCCTACGTCGTTGGCGTGCGGGTTGTTAGTTCAATTGTTTGAACATGGGTTCCTTGGTATTCAAATGGCGCCAGCAGTCTGTCTGTGGGCCTGTAACACACATTGGAGACCCAGGATCCCTTACGCTGGCCGATAGCTCTGCCGTGGTGAACAATTCACTCCCTCTCTCTACAGCAAGCCCTCCTGACTTTCACTCTCCTCCCAACACTGATGCAGTGACCAGACAGACCTTATCCCATCTCACTAATGCAGGGAGGGTGTCACTACAGCTTCTGTGTCACTACTTCATTAGTAGGATGGGCCTGTTATGATACTTAATTTCATAAGAAGAATATCATTAGACAAAATTTAGAATTAATATGTTTTTATGTCTAAAATGACTTTTTAAAAGTTCCCCATTTCAAGATTTATTTTTGTATTAGTTGGGATTGGAATAATCTAAAAGCTAGTGATACATTTTTCAAATGTTTTTTAGGCTGGGTTTCTTTTAGAAAGACTATTCATGTTTCCCTTTTAGCTCTTTAGTGGGCAAGTAAAGTCACTCTAGTGCCTAAGAAGAGGATGTGCTCGGGCAGTTCCTAACCCCTCAACTCCTCAAGGCAAATTGAGTTACAGATTGGCAGAGGTGTGATAGAGATTCGACCAAAGGAGCCAGTATTGATTTCTTAAACTCCAAGATGTACCCAACAAGGTTTTTGCCTGTTAACATCGTGGATGAGCTATATGGGCCTCTGACTGGCATGTCAATCACTGCCTATTGCTTACTGTATAGGTGCAATACTCTGTCCAAACTGTCATGTTTGCATTGATTACCTCTCATCGTTTTCTCCATCAATTCATGCAATCAATGTGAACCTTAATAAGCGGCTTTCTTGACTGTCATTCCGTCATTATTGTTGGCATCAGGTGATTGATGAACCATTTCAGTTGATCGTCAACTTGTATTGGCAGATCAGTCACTTCAACAATCATGCTTGTGTACAGATATCTACTTCACCATCATGCTATCATACTAAGTTGGCATTTTGTACAAAATGACCAATCATCGAGTTCATGTTAACTTCTCTCTGATGGTATCTCAGGTTTTATTTTTTTTTATTAATTCAAATTTTTTTTATGTAATAATATTTTAAAAATCCTAGTTGTTTATATCTAGTAATTATGTGGCTGAAATATTGTTGATGTGATATCAAATTTTAATTCCCACCCTCTCACTTATATATAGTTATTTAGGCCACAATGCCCAGAACAAAAAGTTTACTTGAACTGCACTGAGTGTGTGTGTGTGTTTATGACCAGGGATGGTGTAGCCTACCTCGTAGACCCAGGCTTCAATTGCCAAGTACAATTAAGAGGCCCACTTGTCCCCCCCTTGCTGTATTGAATAGGGCTAACAGTGATGCAATACCATTCTCACAATATCATGAAATATGGTTATGGTTGTGTTACTTAGTTTTCTGTTTAAATAAAACACGAAGATGCGTCTGACCTACCCTGTTGCTGCTCATGTCCATATTAGCAAACCTCAAATTGGCTTGTTTATGACAATGGAAGTCCTTTGAATTGTTACAAGCACATGCCAACATTGTGGAGTGTACATGTGCAACTATCCCCATTATGACCCCAGACACCGTGTTACCATGGGACTTGGTATTGATAGGTTTCACCAACATTTATGTGTATTCCATATTCCATTGTCTTCCAGTTCACATCAATAT